ACTCTTTAACTCTTGGCTGCCCAGTTTCTGCCCCCCACGGGGAGGGAGAGTGCTCTGCAGGGGTGTGCCTCCCAGGTTGGCTTCTTCTATCCAAATGCTGATTTCTAGTTAAAGTGCGGGGTTTGCTTATGGACTTGCTCCTCCCTTTGAAATTCTGATCCCCACCCAGTCCGTAAGTGGCATTTGCAGCATTTGCCACTCGACTTCCTGCTGTCACAGGGGCTGGAGGAACCAGGCGCCAGCACCAGTACTCAGAACCTGGAAAGGGATCAAAGAATGTTTTTAGCGAAGCCTCAAAGCGTCTTGGAGTGGTAGCCAGGGTGCTTTAAAGTTAGCTGCAGATCCTTGAATTCAGACAACAAGGACCCGTGGAACAGGCCAGCATTCTCACTGCCTTCAGTGGGTTCTGAGTGTTTCTGGCTTCTTCCTATATTTCACACACTTAATAAGAATAATACTAAAAGCCCTGTTATGTAATAAACCTCTCCATTATAGCCCTGTTCCCACTGCACCCCCCTCCCCCAAAAGCCAGAGGAAAAGCAGAAAGCTTTATTAAAATAAAATAAACAAGCATGCAAAAACTGTGTCCAAGTGTGCTTGCTGCCGAGTTGCTGTCAGTTCCTGGTTCTATGGCAGCTCCCAAGCAGCCCTGGGCTTGCTGTGGGCCTTGGCACAAACTCAGTTATTCCTCAGGCTCTCTTCCTCGCATCAAAATAAGGCCTCAACATCAAATACTGGAGTTTGCTGTGCCAAAAAGAGCAAAGGAACAGCTGTACGGCTCTCAGCCAGTGATGTCAGATGGTGAGTAACTGATGAGAGAACAAACCTTCCCTGTGCAGAACAGAGGGTGTGAGAGGCTGCGCCTCAGTACTGCCATCTCAGTGCTGGGGGTTTCAGATCAAGTAAAAGATGCAAATTTGAATTTGAGGTTCCCATAAAAGTTTAAGGCTGTCTCAGACGTCACACCTGGAATTATCCAGAATTCAGAACCTGGAGAGTTAGAGACCTCCTAAGAGCTTCTGTAAGTTATTCCAATATCCCACCCTGGACCTGGCGCCATTTCCTCTTCTTCACAGCTCACGAAATTCGGGCCGGGCCAGTCCAGCCATCCACCAATCAGATGTAACCTGGCATTCCACCTGAGAATCCCAGCCCCTTCCCCAATCCTGCCCACTCACCAGTCATCCCCAGGCACTAATCCCCTGGGGCCTGCCCTCAATCCCTCCCAACCCCCCAGCCCCCACACCTGGCTGACAAAAATGCCCCCAGCTGCGGCTCTCTCTCTTCTTTGTTCTTCTCTCTCTCTCCTCCTTCCAGCCTCTCCTCCCTCTCCTCCCTTCCCCTTTTCCTGCCCCACTGGAATAAACCACCTAAGATACCTCGTTGCGCCTGGTGTTTTCCGCTCACAGTAAAGAACCAGGTTGTGGGAATTAGCTGCTTGTAAAATATCGTAACATCATATGAACCAGAACTCTAGCACTGTTTTAAATAACTAACAGATTCCCCAATCAGTGAAGGTGAGCTCAAATGCCCGGAGGGGTCAGCCTGGTGATCTCCAGTGCTCCGAGGACGGGATGGTGAAGCAACAAGGACCAAGGCACTATCTGCTCAACTTTAGACTATCGTGATACCAAACCCTTACAACTGTGACAAAGGAGGATTCCCCAAAGCGGCAGGTGTCAGCTCACACCCAAAACTTCCTTATTTGGAGCATCGTGTTGAATGACAACTGCAAGGGAGTGATGCTGGGGGTTGGTCACCAGCAGCAGCTCACAGGTGTTCAGGAGTTGTAGGGTTTTTGATCCCAAATATGGCAGCAACCTCAATTCTTGTCTCGCAGGAAAGAAGAATTTTCATGAGGACAGTTTAGTTTTATAGCAAGATTTATTAGAAAAGCTGAGAAAAGAAAAGAAGCTCCAGTCCTAGTGACAGGAAGGGGTTTTGAGATAGAAAGAACCCATACACAGGGGGTGTTGGGCTATTTTTAAAGATTTATTTATTTATTTTTATTGGAAAGGCAGATATACAGAGAAGAGAAGGACAGAAAGATCTTCCGTCCGATGGTCCACTCCCCAAGTGACCACAATGGCCGGAGCTGAGCCAATCCGAAGCCAGGAGCCAGGAGCTCTTCTAGGTCTCCCATGTGGGTACAGGGTCCCAAAGCTTTGGGCTGTCCTCAACTGCTTTCCCAGGCCACAAGCAGGGAGGTAGATGGGAAGTGGGGCCACTGGGATTAGAACCAGTGACCATTTAAAAAGCTTTAGTTCAAAGGGGTTTGTCCAAAGACAAAAAGGAAATTCCCCATGGTACCTGACTTTGAGACAAAAGGCCAGAAAGATGTCAGATGATGCTACTTCCTTGGTCCCTTTTCAGTGATAATGGCCTCAGACTGGTCTCCTTGAAGAAGCCCTGCCCCACAATGGCTGGAGACGATGGATGGCTCTCCGGGTGGGGAATTGCTATGTTAATGTCACCCTTATCCCTGGAAGAAAGGTGCTCAGGTGAATCTAAGACGTGGTGCAGAAAACACCATTTTATCTTTGAGAAGAAAATGGCTCGGGGACCCAGAATGCCCCAACTGCCTACTACCCAGTCTAACTCCTCACACGCAGTGGTCTCCAGTAGCCCACGTGGGCCGGGGCGGTCACCTCCAACAGCCCACGGGGGCTAGGGATGGCCACCTCCAGGAGCCTGCAAGGTTGGTGTGGTGATCTGCAGCAGTCCGTAGGGGTCAGGGCAATGATTTGGTGCTGCCCCGTGCAGACCGCTGGGGCCGGTGTGGTCACTTCCAGCAGCTCCAGAGGGCTAGGGGTGGTCACCACCAGCATCCTGCAAGGGCCAGTGCGGTGACCTCCTGCAGCCCTCAGTGGCCCGGATGATGATCTCGGTAGCCAGTAGTCCGCGAGAACCGGTGTGGTGATCTGCAGCAGCCCGTGCAGGTCGGTGTGGCGATCTCAAGGAGTCTGTTTGGTCCAGTGCAGGGATCTCCAGCAGTCCGCGGGGGCCATTCAGAGAAGATCCCGTAATCCTGTGATGACCGGTTTGTCTAAAGCAGCCCGTGTGCTCTGGGGTGGTCACCTCTAGAAGCCCGGGAGGCCCTGGAAGGTGATCCTGCGCAGCCCGCGGGAGTCGCTCCGAGGATCTCGTGCAGTGCATGGTAGCCTGTGGTGGGATCTGTAACAGCCGTGGGGGACTGATGCATTGACCTCCAGCAGCCCAAGGGGTGGGGTGGTCATCTGCAGCAGCCCTCAGGGGCCCATGCGGTGGTCTGTAGCCGCTTGTGGAGACCCTTGTGGTCATCTCCAGAAACCCGTGCCAGCCAGGGTTACCTGCTTGCAGCCAGTGGTTGCCAGGGTTGGTCACCACCTGCACCCTGCAGGGGCCAGTGCAGGAGCCTGTGGGGCCGGCGCAGTGGTCTCCAACAGCCCACGGTCTGGTGTTGTCACCTCCTCCAGCCCTTGGGGTCCTGTGAGGTCACTTCCAGCAGCCTGCAGGGGACGCGGTGGTCATCTGGAGTAGCCCGCAGGTCAGTGTGGTGTGGTCCCTGGGGGGGTCTGTGCTGTGATTTCCAGCAGCCTGGGCGGGCTGGCATGGTCACATGCACCATCCCATGGGTGCTGGGGGCAGTCACCTCCAGTAACCTGCATTGGTCAGGTGGGAACCTCCAGCAACTCTGTGACCCAAGCTAGCAACCTGAGAGGCAGGCAGTCCCTTTCCTTTTCCTGAAGGCACTCAGCTCACCTGTCTCCCCAAGTAGGGTGGGGGCTCCTCCTGCTGACGCCTCTGTTTCAGGTAACAGGCACCCCGCTTCAGGATCTTTAGAGAGAAATGTCTCCTAAAGAAACACGTCAAGAGGTCAGCCTGAGTCATCGGCTCTTTAGCCTCGTTCACAGAGAAGGGGTCAGGTGGTCAAGGATTCTGCCTGCATCCTCCCAACTCCCTCCCCTCCGCCTTGCTAGAAGCCGTGCAGCGCATCCTGCCTGTGGGCGTCGGCTGGTTCCGGGACATTTCCAGGTAGGAAGGATGTTGGGAATGGTGTTGATAAAGACTTTGAACACAGCAAGAAGTGCTGGGCGGGGAGGGAAGATAGAAAAGGAGTAATTACCCAAGGAAGTCTAGTCTGTGGCCTGCCCTATGAAAGAAAGGCGTGGCAGAACATTCCCTCTTAGCTGTTTGCCTGTCTGAATATTCCTCATTCTTCACGTTGCAGTTTAAATGTCACCTCCCTGTCCACCCTCTCTGAAGAGGCCGTCCCAGGCTGCTCCCTTGGCATGGCTCAGTTTGTGCTGTGTTACATTCTTCAGTGCGGGGACAGGAGAGCTCCTGCTTGCGGCCAGGACTGCGGTGTCCATCAAGGCAAGAGGCGCCTTGTTGGTACGCCCTATGTCTCAAGCACGCTGCATGCGGCCGGGATCAGCAGATGCTTGCATACTCACGCAAACTCATGCGAACCCATATGTGTGTTCTATTTGTGCTGGAACAATGTCTCCTAATCCTTCTTTTAACTTCATTACCCTTCTGTACTGGTAACGCCATTGTAAGTAGGAAGTGGAGCTATGATTTCTGGGAGAGAGAAATGGAAGTGAAAAAATTGGCTGGCTGAGTCATAAGCATTTTTCTCGAGGTCACGTCGCATCCTGTGAATTTACGACTCCTTGGACCGACTGCAGGCCAGCTTGCAAACAAATTATCTGCAAACTAACAAAGCCTATTTTTAAAGATCCCCACGCCTCGCAGCTCCAGGCGATGACATCAGAGAAGCCGGAGTTCCACCTCCCAGCCAAGCCTCGTGGTTCTCGAAAACTACGAGCCCCGAAATGCATCGCGGCGCGGGGCCCCAGAGCTCCGCGCGCGTCACTCCCTTGAGCGCCCCGAGGCCGCCGCCCTTGGAACCAGGAAGACGCCGCCGGGCAGCGCGCGCTGCCTGCCGGGATTTGTAGTGTCCGCCGGGCTGGGAGTGCCCGCTCCGGAATCTCAGCCGCCGTCTGGGGGCCGAGGCGGCGCGGGCGCGCTTGCGCAGTGTGCGGGCGGGCCGTCGTGGGCGCCGTCCGGACAGCTCCGCGCCTGTGGGAGCCGGAGCCGCGGCGGCGCGGGTGCTCCGGGCCGAGGCCCCGGTAACGTCTGGCGCGGGGCGAGCGGCGGCGCTCGGGGTGGGGACGAGCCCGGGCGCGAAGGGGCGGCGGCGGCGGCGGGGTGGCTGCGGGAGTGCGCGCGGCGGCCGGCGGGGCCGGGGTCCACCGTGCGCGCCCTGGGCGAGGCCGCGGGGCCCGCTCACCTGCGCGCCCGTCCCCGCGGTGCCCGATGTCCTTGCCGCGGCCGGCGGGGTCGGCCGCCAGGTGCGTCGCGCCCACTCCCTCCGCGGCGCGCCCCTGGCCAGCTGTTCGGGGATTCCCGGCGGCGACGCCTGTCGGGGTGGCCAGGCTCCAGGGCGCGCGCGCCCCGGGTTTGAAAAGGGAGCCCGCCCTGGCCGAGTGGTGCAGCTCCCAGCTCGCGGGGGTCCGCGGGGGCGTGGGGAGCCGCTGGCCCAGGTCACGCAGGTGGGGGCCGGGGGGCGCCCCCGAGGCCAGCGGCCGCCTGCAGCTCTCCCGGGGCCATCCCGAGTGGTTTTGTGGTCGACTGATGCTTTCTATGACCGTCGTGGGTAGTTCATCCGAGGGGAAAGTGTTGTCAGAATGAAAGCGGGCTGGTTCTTGGAGGGTTTGCTGCCCTCGCCGCAGCCCGGTCCGCCCTGCCCCGGCAGAGCATGTGCGGGGCCTGGGCTCCATGCTGGGCGCTCCGGGCTCGGGCTCCGCGCGTCCCACAAGGTGGTTAGGGAGCCAGTTCTCTGGGAATTCATGCGATTTTCCTCATCTGAAACACCTTTCGATCAGATAACGTTTGCTTTTCTTATTTTACAGTTGCTGGTTGTCTGTTTTAACGTCATTTTTCTTGACTTTAATTAAATCATTGCCCTTTGCGACTTAGTTTTCTGCCTAGGAAAATCTGATTTGCTGTGTGTTTAATGATTGGAACAAGTGGCACACTCCTGAGGTTTACGCGATCGTCCCTTTATCGCAGGACTGCTGGTCAGTGTGCTCCATGTCCTTCCAAGTACAAAAACTTGAGTCCTTTCTATGTTTAAGGCCAGTGAAGCAGTTTACAGCACGTTTTAAAGTTAATCCGAGAAAAAGAAAGTTTTGAAAAACAGCCATTTTCTAAAACTCGCTTTCTTCATCATCTGAAGGGCTTGAAGAGAACTATACTTTTAAAACGAGTTTGTGCAGACTGGTGCAGCGCTGTCGCTTCCTGTTGTACACACTTGCAGCAGGAAATATTTCTCCAAGCAGCTTCTGTCAAGGGAAAGAACATCTTAGAATATGGATACATGGGTGCAAAAATATTTAAGGTTGGCAGCCTTTGAGTAGGTTGTTTCCTCGGAGAAGCCCAGGAGAACTTTGTTGGGAGTGTGAAGATGGGATCTATCTGCAGTTCCTATCTCACTTTATCCTGTTAATTAGTATTTATATTGTTGCTCTGGGAGGGACGAAAGGGGCAGGTTTGTATCTTTTTTTCCCATTCCGGTGCTAGCTTTGTAGCAAACTACGAAGGAGAGACAGTGTGGTGTCCGTCCCTTGGGTCTTTGGGTCTGTCACAGGCAGGGAGAGACAGCAGGACAGGGGAAGTACACAATCGTAAGGAAACTGCGCGAGTCCATAAGCCGGAAGGACCTTTTTAGAAATGTTGAGAGATGTTAAGAATAGCATTAAGGGGGCCGGCTTGGTAGCCTAGCGGTTGAAGTCCTCGCTTTGCACGCCTGGGATCCCATAGGAGTGCAGGTTCTAGGAGCGCCATTTCCAGCTCCCTGCTTGTGACCCGGGAAGCAGTTGGGGACAGCCCAAAGCCTCCCCATGTGGGAGACGTGGAGAAGGCTCCTGGCTTCGGATCAGTGCAGCTCCGGCCATTATGGCTGCTTGGGGAGAGAATCAGGATGCAAGAGCCTCCTCTCTGTCTTCTGTCTCCTTTCCTCTCTGTATATCAGATATATATATATATATATATATATATATATACACACACACACACACACACACACACACACACATATTTTTAAAAATAGCATTAAGGGTTCTTTAAGAAATAGCTGGGCTGTACTGGGTTGCTGACTGGTTGATGACTTATGGGATGTGTTAATAGTGAAGACTTCTGGGAAAATACATTTTACCTGTTTTGTAGACACTTTTCCCTCCAAAATATTTACTGGAGCTTTTGAATTAAATGCCTTTTTGACTGAGTCTGAAAGTTTTATTATCCTTGTTCATACTGTAATCCCCAGGTACTTCACCTATGATTGTTAATATCATTAGTTCAGAATGAAATCTGAAGACGTGTTGTGTTAAGCATCATTCATGTCAGACATTGATGTTGCTGTGTTCCTTGTTGGTGGTTATTGTTGTTCCTGTTGCGATAACTCTGTCATTGAAGAAGAGGGAAGGTGGTTTTCTGAAAAGAATGTCATTATTCAGGTGTGGCAGCAGCTGCACCCTGCCTTTATTGGGCAGAAAATTCCGAGTGCAGTCAGCAGTGACTGCCCTAGGTACTTCCTGCATTTGCCTGCAGCCCAGGGCTGAGCAGCTGACTTTAGTAATCGACAGCACAAGATTTCAGGACTTTTTTTTTTCCAACCTCAGTTCAGATCTGCAGTGTTAGAATAAAATAGCTTTGGTGAGCTCGGTGCTCGTTTGAGATGTTGTGAGCGCGAGCGAGTGACTGGCTTGCAGAAGCCGGCATGGTGTCTGGAAGGGGCTCTCCGGACACTGCCCGTAATGCTTAGTTGTTTTTAGAGAAATACAAACTATTTCTTTTTCTATAAGAATAGAATTTCCTGTTGATATACTTGTAACATCAGGGCTCTGTGATACTTAATCCATAACATTAAACATTTAAATCTAAGTGTTTTCTTTTGTGTGTGCTGTGTGATAAAGAACATGAATTTGAAATTCCTAGAAGCTATTTAGGCAACCACGCATTAGCTGTTTATTTTCGTAAGTCATTTGACTAGTTGAGTTGCTTAGACTCAGGGAGATGGTGTACGGGGGGATTTTATAAGCAAGTTTCCTTTGAACTGGAATGTCTGTTGAATATAAAACAAGATTAAAGTCATTTAAGATTTTTTTTTTTTGAGTTTTGCTTAGAGTAAAATGATTCCTAGATGTGATCCTTCCCTGACGTCAACCTGACAGCTTTATTCTACAAAAGCTGTGGTTTTATCTCTCTGGGAGACGGAGCCTTTTGGAGCGTGCTAGCTGCACATCCTGCACACGGTTGGCTTTCCTGGGAAAGGCCATCACAGATGGGAGAGCTGGAAGGATTCTGCCAGGGTTTCCGGTGCAGCATCTTTGCTGGTAGAGTAAGTGCCCCCGGAGGATTTCCTCGTCTTTCCTGTCACTCATTAGTGAGGTTGGTGGTGCTGGTGTAGCTGCTGGCAGGCTGCTGTGCAGCATGAACTTGGTGGAAAGCAACATAAGAAAGTGGGTTAAAAATAATTTTTTAAAGATTATCTTTATTGGATAGGCAGATTTACAGAGAGGAGAGACAGAAAGATCTCTCATCTTCTGGTTTATTGCGCAAGTGGCCATAATAGCTAGAGCTGAGCCAGTCTGGAGCCAGGAGCCAGGAGCTTCTTCCGGGTTAGGGTCCCAAGGCAGTAGGCCGTCCTCCGCTGCTGCCTCAGCTGTTACCAGGGAGCTGGATGGGAAGTGGAGCAGCCGGGACAGGCACCAGCACTCGTGTCAGATATACAGAGAGGAAGATCTTCAGTCTAATGATTCACTCCCCAAGCAGCCACAACAGCTGGAGCTGAGCCAGTCCGAGACCAGGAGCCAGGAGCTCTTCTGGGTCTCCCATGTAGGTGCAGGGTCCCAAGGGTTTGGGCCGTCCTCGACTGCTTTCCCAGGCCACAAGCAGGGAGCTGAATGGGAAGTGGGGCCACCGGGATTAGAACCAGCGCCAATATGGGATCCTTGGCATGCAAGGCGAGGACTTAAACCACTATGCTATTGCGCCAGGCCCAAGGATACATGTTATTTTAAATATCCCGCGTCAGGGATCCGAGTGGACAGAGATTGATCAGAAGGAAAGTGAAAACCAGGCAAATCTGTCTTACCTAGGTGCATTTAAAGCCCTGTCTTTGAGGTTCATTGGCAGGCTTTTCGGTGAGATATGCAGGGAGGCTTCTGGCTGAGCAGCTGTGGGTGGGACGTTTTCTGTGGCTACACCTGTCTGTCTGGTCCCGTCAGTCCTGACCCTGGTCCCTGGAGTGTGGAGGGGGCGAGTTGAGATACGTCTGCTGTTTGCAGGCACATTTTCCAATAGTAGCAAGCCCGTCAGTCTAGATGCTGTGATGGCGACTGCTCAGGTCACAGGAAACTCACTTCCTGGGCCTGCCAAGTGGCAGCGTGCAAGCTGCTGGTAGCTGGCTTTGTGCGCCCTGCCTTTTCTGGTCAGTTCTCCTGTTTCCATCTGCTCCAGGCGTCCAGGTCACCCACTGAATGCACTGGCCCGGCGGCCATGGGCTGGGAGTGAGACACCCGCATCCCCTTGCCGGAACCTCTGACTTCAGAGCAGGAATTCTCCAGGCAGCCTCTGCCACTGTTGGTGGGTCAAAACCACCCCACTTTTCTTGTGTTGTCTCTGAAGACCTGATGAAAATTCTAGTTCTTTCTCTTCTGTTCTCTTAGCTGCTTTTGTAGAGCGAAAGGATGACCAGGGGGTGAAGGTTTGCGGAGCCCCAGGGGGCGTGGGGAGGGGGAGGGGTGAGCGGTGGCTGACCTGGCAGTTGTGGGTGCCCTCAGCTTTGAGTTGGTAAGTGTCCACCAGATGCCTTAACAGCTAAGTCCCGGGCCTCTGTTGAGCTTGGGACATGCAGAAGTCAACTTTCCTTTGGGTATTTCCTTTTGATTTTTGTTTTTGGCTTCCTAGCTCCTTTCTGACAAAGTGTTAACTGAATTTGTTGGTTTATGACTGATTTGTAAGCTCTAATACATCTTAAGGCATAAATAAAGCCAAAGTTAATATTTTGAGGGAAATTCTAGTAATACAGTTTTTATCTGTTTTTAATTTTCATACTGGCTTCATT